TTTGATAGAACACTGCACTGAATTTTCGTGGGCTTAATTTTCTAGAATTTTTTTGTGCTTGTTAATAAATTATAGTAACCTCTGTAAGTCCTGCTCTTTTGGATTGGCTTTTCAAAGCAATTACGCATACTCTTTTAAGTAGTCTTAGTGGTCTTAGTAAAAATGTTTATATAAACTTGTATCTCATGTGATGTTTTAGTTGACATTCGTTGACAGTAAAAGTTGCCATACCAATCATTTATATATCACTGAGTCCCGGATCAATTACAATAAGCATGACCGCAATGCCCTCGACCACATGTCCGCGCGTGTGACCGTGTGACCCAACGTGTTAAACTTGGACACGTTTTGCGATCCTATCCGTCTCAAAAGTTCTGAGCGCATTGACATGTCACAACTTTTATAGGGCGCTGGCGACAGTGACTGCTCACCGTACAAGGTTAGTGAGTGTAATACCAGCTACGCTGCTGATATTCTCATTCATTACTCGGCCCCTAACGCGAGCTATAGCCTCGCTGAAAGCTATCTCGCGGATTGTTTGAAAGCAGCGGGCGACGCGCAGCGAGCCAACAGAGCTCAGTCGTCGTGCAGCCACGGTCAAATATAGTTGGTTTGTCCGCGCGTGCTAGCTGCGCCGTTCACGCTACGCTAGCGCTAGACCTTACAGTAAGTTGTAGTGGTTGTACTACAGGTGCCCTCAGGATGAACGTTCCCCGAGACGATGCTCATGCTAACGCCTGAGACACGCTTGGTAAGGCCAGATAGGCCAACCCGCCAAGCAGCTGTGTGGAGCCGGCGGCCCGCCCTGAGCACCGCCCAAGTGAATTCACTCCTAAGAGGCTCGGACAAGGGAACGTTTGAGGCAAAACGTTCGATGAAAACGTTCTTACGCGTCAGCTCAGCGATCGTTCATTGTGTGGGCCCCTTTACTCTGCATCTCCTTTCCTCAGCCTATCTGACGTTTCAAATTGAGTCTCTAGGACTGGGTAATAGAAGATGAGGGTGTTGGATTGTTGGATGTTCCTCGCGATATTCAGAGCCTTATTTTCCAGATCACCGTCGCTGTGTCTCGTGGCGACCCTCTGCCGAGCTGCGCGTCGGCGTGCTGGGACCTGTTGGTGCTGCTCCTGGCCACCCTGGCGGCCTGCCCTCGGGTCTACCCTCCTACCCCCCCTCACCCTCCCGAGTGACCCGCTGACCCCGACGCGGACACCCTTCCTTTAGGTGAGTCCCTCTCCTCATGTCAGTCCGCTCGACTTTTGTGCCTGTGCTGCCCACCTCATGGTCTGCCGCCCCTGTCCGTCCGTGTCGTGAGCGTCTGTCTCGCCGCCGACGCCCTCCTCGGCCACTTCGTTGAGAGTATTCCCCGGTGGCGTGGTGGCGGTCCCGGGTGGTCGCGAGTGGCGTGCGGTGTGCGGCCGGTGCGGCCGCCGGAGGGCCCATTGTTGAGCCGCAGTAAGCGTGCGTAGGCCAGCCCCCCCTCCCCGGTCCTGGCAGGCGCGACAAAACCCCTGTATGTAGGCAAACGGTGCATTGCCTTCCGTGGTTCGGTACACCGCGACAATGCGGGAGCAGCCTCGGGCCCTCCCCTGCCTAGAGAGACTTGCCCTGCCCGTCCACCAGTCCCAGGAGAATCCGACAGTGGCAGGTGCGAGTGAGATGCTCGGGATGGGCATAGCCCCGTCTCCACTCGTACAAGCTGCTTTTCGTACGCTCCCGGGACTGGTGGACGTGGGTGGACCGCCCGATGCCGACCTCTACTGCTCTGCCGACGTAGCCGCTGACACAT